ATAGTTGTGTTCAAATATTTGAAGGGCTTCATATGGAAGAGACATTCAATCTGTCAGTCAGACATTTATTAAACACCTCCTGTGTGCCAGGTACTGTACTAAATACTGAGATTACAAGGATAGACAGAAGATAACCCCTGCTCTCAAGGAGCTCACAGTTGAATGAGGGAGAGTGTGGGTGATAGAGGAAGTAATGTGCTGGAAAAAAGTGAGATGGAATGGGATCACTTGTGCAGGTAAAGGATTTTGCCTTGGCATGAAGGGCCACCTTATTATGTGAGAGAGGTTCGAAGGTGAAGAAGGGGCAGGAAACATCTGTGTGATGTGAGTTGAGGAGGAGGGGAAAAGAGAGATCTCTCAGGAAATGGCCTCCATATTTTTCAGTAAAATCATCTCTGCTGAGACGATTGGGGAAAGGGGACTATAGGAGGTTTAAAGAGGGATGAAAAGGTTTAGAAGAGCCACTAGTTAGTAGGGGATAGTGAGTCAGGGAAGTGTCAAAAATTGCATTGCTACAGTTCAGGCTCAGTACAGATTGCATAACATAAATTTGTAGTCAATCCAGACAGCATGGTGTCATGTCCAGGAATATTGAGCACTGGAGTAACTCTCTGTTTTTTAATCTTTTTCTTGAAATTTGCTGGACTATATGTGTATGAGCAATGGTTGAAAAACCTGCATAAAACCTAGTGGAATTCTCAGTCTTTCTTGGTAAGAGACAGTATAATTTTTAAAAAGATGTTGGCTGTATAGATCATGGTTTTAGGTTTTAGGACTGGAAGTGATTTCTTTGAATCTAACATTTTTTGGGGGGCGGGTGAGAGGCAATCGGGGTTAAATGACTTGCTCAGGGTCACACAGTAACCTTCTTATTTTAAAGATAAGGAAACTGAAGTCCAGGGAGGTTAAGTGACTTGCCTGTCATCACACTCACTGTGTGTGCTTCTGCATTCAAGTCTTTGGGACTCCAGGTCCAACACTGTGATTGACAGAAAGGAAACAGGGGGTTAATAATTGCCAAGATTTCCATATCTCTTTTTGTCAGAAATAAGATAATTTTTTTGGCTAGGAAACTACTGCTTAGGAAGCATTATAAGACCTCTTCATCAATGTTTTATGCAATGCTTTCATACCTACTTTGAGATGGTCATGATTTCTAGGGATTCCTTCATATCACATCCATTTTAAACTGCCACTGACGTGTCATCCCACTTGTGTTTAGTCAATATGTAGCAGACACACATATAGCCACAATCAGGGTAGAGATCATTTAACTGATACTATATATTTATTGGAAGTCTATGGTATATTGGCTTGATCTCATCTTTTAGCTTGACTAACATTGTCTACTGTAGTCAGAGCTCTCTTTCTGCTTCCTTCAGGCTCTTTTTTTCCCCTCTGCCTCTTTGAGATGGTCTTCTCATTCTTTATAGTTTCTGTGTAGACCTATCCTACTTTCCTGACACAATTCTTCGAATTCTTCCCTCCCAGTCTTATTTTTCTATTGTCTTATGTAAAACTTAGTCTTTAATATAATGTCATGTGATCTGTGGATGCTTTGTAAACGGTTTGATAAAGCAGCCTCATAGAGTGAATAATATTCCATTAGAAAGTGAGCTCTTAGAAAAAATAATAACAAAATTAATTTAAAAAAAACAAAAGGTCAAGAATATCAGAGGAACTTATGGAAAAAATGTAAAGGAAGGAGGTTTAGCAGTACCAGATCTTAAATCTATATTATAAGGCCATAATTATCAAAACTGTCTCATACTGGCTAAGAAATAGAAAGGTAGATCAGTGGAACAGAGTAGTCATACAATCTACAGCAGCAAATGAATGTAGTAATCTAGTGTTTGACAAGTGTAAAGACTTAAGTTTTGGGAATAAGAATTCATTATTCAGTAAAAATTGTTGAGAAAGCTGGAAAGGGGTCTGGCAGAAATTGGGCATAGATCAGTATCTTACACCATTTACCAAGATAAAGTCAAAATGGATATATGACCTAAAGGGAGATAGTATGTTCCATGTTTTTTGAGTTGAACATGAAACATACTATCTATCAGGCTTATGGATAGGTGAACAATCTATGAACAAACAAGAGATAGAAAGCATTATAAGATGTAAAATGGATAATTTTGATTACATTAAATTAAAAAAGTTTGTGTAAATAAAACAAATGTAGCCAAGATCAGAAGGAAAGCAGAAAACTGGGGGAAAATCTTTATAAACAGTTCCTCAGATAAAGGTCTCATGTCTCAGATATATAAAGAAGTGTGTCAAATCTATAAGAATGCGAGTCATTCCTCAATTGATAAATGGTCAAAGGATATAAACAGACAATTTTCGGATAAAATCAAAACAATTTATCTTCATGTGAAAAAAGCTCTAATCATTATTGATTAGAGAAATGCAAATTAAAACAACCTTGAGATGTCATTTTACACCTATCAAATTGGCTAAAATGATAGAAGGAGAAAGTGAGAAATGTTGGAGGGGATGTGGAAAAATTCATTGTTGGTGCATCTGTGAGCTGATCTAACCATTTTGGAGAAAGATTTGAAATTATGCCCAAAGAGCTATTAAACTGCCTATACTCTTTGACCCAACAATACAACTATTAGCCCAAGATGATTAGGTGAAAAGGAAAAGAATCTACATGTTCTAAAATATTTATAACAGCTCTCTTTGTGGTATCAAAGAACTGGAAATTATGGGGATGCCCCTCAATTGGGGAATGGCTAAACAGATTGTGGTATATATTCATGATGGAATATTACTCTGCCGTAAGAAATGATGACCTCAATGATTTTAGAAAAGCATGGAGAAACCTCCATGAAACAGTGAAGAGTGAAATGAGCAGAACCAAGAACAGTGTATACAGTAACAGCAGTATTGTTTTAAGAACACAACTTTGAGTGACCAAGTCATTCTATTATAAATACCCAAATTAACCGCGAAGATCCAATGAAGGAAGATGCTGTTTGAATCCAGAAAAAGAACTGATATGTGTATATAGATACAGATAGAGATCTCTCTCTCTCTCTCTCTCTCTCTCTCTCTCTCTCTCTCTCTCTCTCTCTCTCTCTCTCTCTCTCTCTCTCTCTCTCTCCCCCTCTCCCCCTCTCTCCCTCTCTCCCTCCTTCCCTCCCTCTCCCCCTCCCCCTCCTTCCCTCCCTCTCCCCCTCCCCCTCTCCCTGTCCCTCTCCCTCTCCTTGTCCCTCTCCCTCTCTCTCTCCCTTTCCCTCTCCCTCTCCCTCTCTCCCTCTCCCTGTCCCT